ATGATGATGATGATGATGATGATGATGATGATGATGATGATGATGATGATGATAACGATCATGGTCATGAGGGTGGGGAACAGGGAGTTTAGGAATTAATGATGATGGTGATGATGATGAGGAGGAGGAGGACGGGGGGAATAGAGATTAAAATTCGAGGAAAAGGGAAAATAAGAATTATCGATGATGATGATGATGAGGAGGAGGAGCAGGACGAGGAGGACGAGGAGGACGAGGAGGACGAGGAGAACGAGGAGAACGAGGGAAAATGGAGATTGAAAATTGATGATGACGATGATGATGATGATGATGATGATGATGATGATGATGATGATGATGATGATGATGATGATGATGATGATGATGATGATCATGATCATGATGATGATGATTGCAGCATTAGGGATTCAATTCAGGGTCATATGCATGTAGATCAACACATTGCGAAGTGAGCTCTCAGCATGTCCCTTCTCTAACGTAAAATCTGGCATCTTGGCTCTGCATTTACTATACTTTTTCCTTTATAATTTGTTCTCGTTTCAATACCCCATGTACCCAACTTATAACGTTTAAGAGGCAGGCCACTTCAACTTTCCCTCTCAGGGACATCTAACTCTTCGTGGGAGTACAGTATCTCATCAGCTTGACAGATCGATACATATCCCAACCTGCTCTAACGGCCACCTGTATAAGACAATCACCTGTACAAAGGGTCACTTCTCATTTCCTCCCTTTTGTATTTTTTTTTCTTCAGACTTGTAAAATTAAGGACTTCTCTGTTGACATCAACCCCTTGGCCCTGATATGACCTTATGCAGTTGTGAGCCCCGTAAAACGTCTACTAAAACAAAAAAACGAAGAAGCGTATTTTTTCACATTATAATAAGACTGTCTAAGAAGGCCACTTTTCTCCTCAACAATGGGTGGCCGTCTTAGACGCTTTATGCTGTACTCGTTCAAATGAACTTCCCTAGGCAAGAATCGAATTCATGCCTTTTACAAATGGTGGTAGCCTTCTTTCGTACGAATCTGTAGACCTAGGAGCTTCTCAAGCAAAAAAAACAACAACACCCAAAAAAAAGACAACAACAAAAAAACAAACAAAAAACATGGACTCCTTAACTTTGATTCCGCATTGAAATGACTATTTGTTTCAAATAGGGCTTTCAATGAATAAAAAAAACCCAACCCTCTTCGCACTTCATGCCCTAGTCCAGAGAATTCATCAGCAAATAACGTGTCAGTGTAATTTACTCGCGGATGACTTTTTAAAAACAAGTAAAAAACCCGGATCCCAAAAGCAAACCTTGATATTCCAAACGAACAATTTAATTAAATACATTCCCCAGTCACCACCCAGAAGCTGAGTAAACCGCCGCAAGCTAATCCTTGCTGGCAGTTTCATGAACCGGAATGCGGAATTCTATCTGCAGGTTTATGCCATGTGTGTATGACTAACACAAGTACGACTCCACCAGACAGGTTTTCATGCTAATCTGGTTTGGTTTTCATAAGCTGCAGTGGGTTTAGAATTACATAAACTCGTCTGGTGCGATAGAGTTAATGAAACTGGAACTCGATCGGACACTCCGCTACCTTAGAGTTACAAAGGTCTATCTGACGTTTTTGGCTGCTTTGAGTTACTACGACCATCAGGTCCGAAGCTAAAAATGTTCTCTTTGCTCTGTCAAACGCACATGATCATTCGGAGTCCTTATCAATATACATGTATTCAAAGAATTGCATTTGAAAAATATTGAAATAATATTGTGAGACTCAAAATGTTAACGTTATCTCAAAACTAAGTATTGAGCAGATAAAACTTTATAATTCTAGGGTAGCGACTAGTTGATTGGCTGCCTCACTGCCTTGTAAGCGTATAATATTCATTTTTTGCGATCTCCCAAACTGATTCACTGACATCGAATCTCCAAGTTTAATGAGGACTTGTTAGGTGTACCGTATAATTGCAACGTGTGCAGTTGCCTATTCTATATTATTGCTTATTTAAATCTCTCTTAGATGAACATTTTGTCTCGTCTCTACAATCGTAAATTTCAGCAGGAGGAGAGATTGCAAATTTAGTTACGTAATATCTATGTTATGTTCCATTTTTAGTTTTAGTTAGCGTTTTGCGGCTCTTGCAAAAAAAAAAAGAAGGTGATTTACGTGCTGAACAATGGTATAGTTGTTACTAGAGAGCAACATACACAAAAAAAGAAGAATGAGAAATAAGGACGATAGTTGTTTGATAGAAAAAAATGAGCAAACCGCACCAGAGTGT